ACGAACATCCGAACGGTTTTGGTCACCACTTTTGACTTATCGGATATACAAATGTATGTATGGGGATTTTAAACCTATAATCTTAAAAAGGCCTACTGTGAAAACTGCATGCATTAGCCTCTTATTTGTTTACCTCCGATTTTCCACAACCAATTTGTTATTGTTTTCTTTCAGTATGTGTTGAGACTCGGCAGTGTACGGTTAAGTCTATGCGCTGTGGCGTGATTACGGCAGCGCATTTAATGACTCCGGCGAACACACACATACAAATGTAGAAACATACTAATAAAACAGCGTTTCCTGCATTCTTAGTATAGATGTTTTACATAATCAGAAATAAATTAAAAACAGAAACAAACAAATTCTTTAAACTCATTGCAAATTAAAATTAATGTTAATGTATTATATAATGTTGTTATGTTAATTTAATTAAATATATTTATAAAATATAAGCATGCTGCTTTGAAGAGCGCAAAGAGCAGAGTTTATTTCGCAGTCGAAAGTGAACAGACACGCGTCGTGAATCAATAATTTCACAAATGCTTAAATATTTATTGTACTAAATATATATAAGTAGATATGTATGTATGTACATATGTGTGAAAAAAATGTATTAAACGCGTGTTATTACGTTGCAAACACGCGAGCGCAGACAATCACGCTGATTTTGACGTCTGGCTGAATGTGTTTTTAAAAATTTCACAAACTCGTTTGTTTGTTGCTGTTGTTGTGACATTTATGCCGACTTGTTCATGTTAACAGCATTGTTAAACACGTGAGTGTATTTATTTGCAGAATACGCACGGTTAATAATTTGCATTCGTGTGGAAGTGCTGCTTATTAATGTTTAGGTATGTATGTTTTTTAGTGACGCATGTAAACAAAAACAAAGTGAGTGCAACATAACACCACACAAAGTCAGTGGAAGCTTTAGACCTTCACATAAGCAATTTGCACACACACAAGCGCAATATTTTACATGCACACATACACATTCAAGAAAAGATAGAGAGAGAGCGCGCGCGTTAACTCGTTCGAAGTATGCTCAGCGTTGTATGCCGACGACGTCAACGCCAACGTCAACCGCATCGTAATTGCTTTTTGTCGTGCGCTGTCAAATGCAAAAGCAGCGAAAGAAACCGTTTAAATTGCGACTGTGCCTGCTGTACGTGTAGCAAAACGTTTTTCAATTTGTGGCGAAAAAGACACACAATACTCGAGTAGAGGAAGGACCTCGGCGCAAACAAGGAGAAATATTCATTAAAAATTATACAAATTTGTTAAAAAATGAAACTTTTAAATTATAAGAGAGAGTTAGTAAACTCAACAGTTTTCAAGTGCTAATGAAGCAGACAACATATAACGGCGAAACTAAACTTAAAGCAATGTGCGCTTGCAAATACAAAGTGAACGCGTAGCATAAAAACATTTTTTAACCAAAAATAAATCGAATTTATTAAAGAAAAAACATCTAAGCAACTTGCTAGAGAAAGTGTCAGAATATAATCTAAAGAAATATTACAAAAAGATGTCTAAACATAAAATGTGCTAAAAATAAAAGAAAATTTTTTTTGCAATATTCTAAGAAAATTCGTACGCCAAAATAACAGTTGCGCATTTCCGCTTCCGCTTCACTGTTTGCTGAACTAATTGCTTGCGTATCTTTAAACAAGGCGTAACAATTATCCAACATTTCAACTATTAATTAATATTTAACGTGCTAAAGATAAATTGTCAAACAAAACGCGAAATGTCTGTGCCAATGCTGTTGACCCGTACAAACACTAGCGCCTCCTTGGGCATGGAGCTGACCGAGTCGCTGTTGCTGGACGAGCACATAACAAGTGTATGTATTGGAAAATTTCGTAATTTTTTAAACATTATTTAATTTTTTGAAAGCTAAGCATTTAGGTGTGTTGAATTGTTAAGTATCTATAACCTCTATTATGGGGCTTGAAGGTCGAAATATTTTTAAAGGTTAGGCTGTCGCTCGCTGAGTTTGTGTACACCTGGTGTTTAAAATGTACAAAAAAATCGATTTCACAAACGTAAAATGCGCCGAACACTTCCTGCTGCAACAGCTGTCCTTTTCTCCGCTCGGATTTTTGATTTCTTAATTATTTTTGTGTTTTCAACAAAATCAATCGATTGTCTGCCGCCGCAAAGTAAAGCTCTCTGCTAAACCAATTGTATTCTTTATCAGACTGTTTAGTGTAATGCTGCTCCTTTGTCTCGTCAGGTGTGCGCGCCCAGCAACTGGGCAAACCCCTAGCTTGGGCCGCGCATTTGGCATAAAACAATTTTATCTACGAGTACGTTTCTCAGGTGACGTCGTCAGTGTCATCATTTTCATTGTTTATTGTGTTTACCACACAGTTTTGTGTTGCTTGTTTTTGACAGCGCGCTCTACTCTTTGTTTGCGCTCTCCACCATATTTCTTGTGCGCTCTTTTATATGTTTTATAGCAACAATTTCGCCGTGCTGGCAATGTTGTCGGTATGCCGCCCAGTTCTTGCTTTTATTTCGCCTATATTTCGTGTATTTTTGTGGCAACTGTACACTGTGAGATATTTCTGTGTGCAAAGGTTCAAAGTACAGTTTAATCGCAAACGAATTGAATAATAAACGTTTCCACTTGAATTCGATGTGCTGTGTTGGCTACTTGGACAGGCCGCTGATTGCATGAGCTCCTCAATCTTTTTTGCATCAGCTGTGGATTTCTTAGAGCATTGAGTAGTTTAAGTACTTCTTTGAATGCTAGAGTTGCAGTAATGTAGTAATTCAATGAATTATGCGTCTGTAATTGCTAGTAATTATATTTTTTGTGGCTTCTATACTTAGATACAGAAACTGTAGCTGGAAGTAAGGTGTTGTAAAGTATAAAATAATGCATAAAATATATTTTAAAGGGTTCTTACGGTGTTTTTTTTTTAATTAAAAACTTCTTTTTTTTCTTAAATTGGTTATATTTTAATAACACTTACATATGTATATACATGGGTAAATAAACTAGCGCTTGGAAGTAATTAAATGCAAAAATAGTTTTTAAAGAATATTAATGGAATTTCGACTAAATTTAAAATATATTCTTAAGAAATGAAAATGTTATATTTTAACGGGCACCTTTTTGAAGAAATGTTGCTTTGAATATGCAATAATAATTTCTCTATCTACTATAAAAAGTAATTACTTTCACATATACTATATACATATGTACAGTATATCAGTATGTTTTTCTTTCATAATATTTATGCATTATTAGTTTCTCACATTCTGCTTTGTTATATGGTTTCTATGATGAGATCATTGCTATTTTTACAAAACTTATTTTCTGTTTTGTTGTTATTTATTATCAGTCGATTCAAAAGAAGTACTGGTATACACACATATGTACGGCTCGTGTATATAGTATAAATTGGCGCAAATTGAATTTAACTATGTACTTAGAGACTACAAATATATATGTACATATACATATGTATACAAGAGGAAAATTTAGGCAAACCTAAAAATACATAGAATTTGCAGTTTTGAACCAGTGAAAGCTCAAGCAATAAAATAATAAAAAATTAAACCCATTGCATAATTAATATAATAATTTCTCTGTTTGCTTTATTATATAATTCCTATAAAATGTGAATATCATTGCTTTGTTTCACTTCCTATATATTTTGCTATAAAAAATCGCATCAAAATGAAATTGCGAGAGCTATTCTGTAAATATAAACAAAGAACTGCACTTTGCTCGTTTAAACAATTAATCATTGCATTATATTATACATATAATGATTATACAATTCCTCATACCAATACTGAAAACAAATACACACACATTTATATTCATAAATATAATTACAATTTCTTTGTTCTCAATTGAGTCGCAGACAACGTGACGCCAATTAGTTAAATAACCTAATTTACTAATAATTACAACGAAATATGAGTGAAAATTGTTGTTTTTGTTGACTTTGTGGCGCTTGACTGCTAAGCAGAAGAAATATTATTGCTTTAAATGAGTATTCTTAACATCAACGTACGTATGTGTGTGTGAATATCTTGTATATGCTTTGTCTATAATTCAAAAAAGTTCCGACTGATTGCACAATTGAGCAACCCAGATAAAGGTTATCTACTCTGGTTTACATACAAACGTACAAACAAATTACACAAATACATTGCCCTAATGGCACTTCGCCTTATTTACGATTACTGCTTACTCTGTAATTCCAAATGTTAATGTAATTCGGAATGTTGACGTATTGTGCTGCGTTACGTATTTGAGTAAAGCTTAAAGCTTTGTTTTTTTCGTGCTTTTGAGAACTAAATTTTTTAAAAATTTGGAACAAATTTTTTTAATATTTTCGGAACAAAATTTTATATTTTTTTTTACAAAATTGTTTAATAATATTTTTAGTTATTTAATAATTATTTAACATATTACTTATATAATTCTTTTTAAGAAAAAAATATTTTTTCATTCATAAAAATAGAAAGAAATAACATTAAAAAACTTCTATTAATAATATATTTCAAACAAATTTTTATTCTGTCAAAATGAAAATTCAATTATTGACTTGAAACTACATTATTATTATTAGATTATTAAAGTAAGTAAATATAAAAAAAATTAAAAATATCTATGATTTACATAAACTTTTCAACGACAGTAATTTTTTTATTTCTTGAATTTTTTATGTGAAATTTTTCTTTTAAAACAAAAAATTTTTTACTATAAAAAAAATTTATATTATTTTGTCAAATAAAAAATTAAAAAAAAATGATTCGGAAAAAATTTAAAGGAAAAATTAAATGTTGAAGTAATATTTTTGTTTTGTTTTGTTTATTAGCAGTATAGAGTTTGACCTTAAAATTGGTATAATAATTTAAGTAGATAAAAAAAGGAACGAAATATATTTTGAATAAAAAGAATTTCTTATTTTGAATAAAATATAAATATTTTTAAATAAAACATTTCAATTAAATTGAAAATATTAGAAAAATTATATACATATCTCTTATTAAAAAGTATTTTTTTCTTATGTGGAAAAAATATATTATTTTTATAATACTTCAAATAAAATTGAAAAACGATTTTATTCAATCATCGAAAATTTCAATTGAATTTCTAATATAACAGAAATTCAATGGTTTTTCGATATAAATTAAAATATTAAAATATATTCGATATAAAAAAAAATTATTTTAATGAAAATAATGTGTTCATATGCAAATATTTTTTTAATGAAAACATTTTTTTTATTGAAATAATTTTTTCAATGAAAATATGTAACTAATATTGTAAGCTCATTTGATAGTTTTTATTAAAATATATGTATATAAAATATATATATAATCTACATACTTATATATGCAGCTTAATTATTATCGCAATATAAATGTCGAATTATATACCAAGCAAATAAATTTCAAGCTTTTTCACCTCAATTGTTCAGCAATAACTTTATATTCATATCACTAAACGTGTTAATTGGCTAAAACGTGTCTTTACAAATATTTACATTTATACACATGTAAGTATATATAAAAATTATATTAAATTTAACACGTTTTTTTTGTGACATTAGGTGTGCTTTGCGCCATAAGAGTAAATAAAAGGAATTTTTTAATGCTTTTTCTTCATTTAATATTGCAGTTGACGTCTTTACTGTGAATTAAAGTCGATTTTAAAATGTATAAAAAGCAAAAAAAGATAATAACTAATTATAATAATGCAAAAAGTAATAAACAACTCTTTTTTTACATTGCTCATAATATATTTGTGTAGTAAAATGAATACGGAGTTGTTCATTACAGTGAAAATTTAGTTCTATAGCGATGACTCATAGGCTGTGCTCTCTATTTAGCAATATAGCGCCTCGTTTCTCAGTTGATAATATTTTTAAAGAATTATTTAATTTTTATGGAAAAAATCTAGTGATGACTTCAACTATATCATAAATGAGTACCGACTTTAGTCGGATATACATATTCTTTCAAGCGTCAGATGGCACCCAAATGGAGTAAGGAGTGTGGTTATTCGCGCACACCCTGTAATAAACATTGGCGCTACATCATCCAAGGCTACCAATTATCTGCTATCAGGTGGTAGCAACGAATGAGTCATCTTGCTTACGCATAAAGGCAAAAGAGTGTCCCGATTTTATATATTTTTTCAAGCTATCACTAAAACGAAAAGATCTTTCATACTTTTGAAAACTTTTACATGCCCATACCACTCTTCTCTACATACTAGTACATTATTTACTGTTAAAAGCGGGATAGTCACAAATTCAGCTGTTTCAGTTCTGCGCATGCGGTCTAGCGCTACTCTATAGTATAAAGGACATCAACATGTCAATGTCGATTAAAAAATTGTAAAAATTCAGGCAAAGTTTTTGCAAGAAAATAAAAGTCATCGCGTGCTCGGCCGCGTTGCTATGTACTAGCGGAAGCGCTATCTGTTAAGCTCATTCAAAGCGTTCAGAGTAAATTCAATTACATTTTGTGCAAATATTGAATAAAAACGACAGTAACAGCAGCAATGTTGCAAAAAAGTGTGTGAGAAATGTAAATTATCATAAAGGCTGGTGTCTAAATATTCACTTAAGTAAGTGTCTATTGATTGCTTTGCTACGAAATTTTGCGCTGAACGCAGGAAAATGTGATTTGAGGCCAAATTATCTTTGTTTAAGTGGCAAATGAAGAAGCCGTAAAGGGCTGTATTGATTTTGACATAAGCTTGATAAATTGCTTTGCGAAATTTCGATAATGAGTGGGTCGCAGTAGCGTGCTTATTATGCAAAACACAAATTTTGAAAAATTTAAAACTTATTTATTAATCAATTAGAGCGTTGTTGATTTCTAGTGTAAAAGTTCTCGCACGTGCTGCTCTTTGCTCGTCCGCTAATTTTAGCTTCATTACTTGGGCATGCCATAAAAACAACCGCATTTAGCTGCCAATTGTGGTTAGTTCATTTTTATTGTTTTTTCCTCTTTAGTCGAAATTTGTGTTAGAAATAATTGTTGGCATTATTTAAGCAGCATGTGACGAGGAAACTAAATACCTCGTATGTATTTGTTCAACATAAATAAAAAGTAGTTTTTAGCGAAGGGCACAAGGAATCTCCGTAATACATTATGTATTAGAATTTGATTATAAATAGTCAGAAAATAGGATTTTTAAATTAAAACAATTTTCTTTATTTCTTTTTTTTTAAATCAGTCTTTTTAATACTAACAATGTTTTCTTATGATTTTCCAGTTTAATTTCTGTCTCCAAAAATAATTTTCGGAAAAAAATATTAAATTTGAATAAAAAATACAATATTATTATTTCAAGCTTTTAAAAACAGAAGAGCAAAAAAATATTTCGCTATTATTGAAAAAAAAAACATTTAATTTTTTATTTTTTATTGAATTTTTAATGGGAAAAAATATTTTTATGGAAATTTTTTTTTTTTATATGGAATTGTTTTAATAGATTGAGAAATATTTACGATACTATTTTTTTTTTTGAATTTTGAAATTCTATTAAAATATATTATGTACATAAGCAATTAACACTTTAAAATGACAGTTTTCTCCAATTACTGTTATTTTTCTTTTTTTATTTTCATTATTTTATTATCAACAAATGAAGTTTTAAAATATGTTAAGTTGCCTTTAAATGTTTTCTAAATAGTTTTCTCAATAACAAAAAAATCTGAATTAACAACAGTTTGACCGAAAATGAAAGTAATTGTTGACATAAAAGTAATTGCAGTTTTAGCTTCGTTAAAAGTACAATATTAATATTAATCTATATCATCTATAAAACTCCGTTACTCTTTATTACCGTTACATAAACAGGTGTGTCATATCCAAATTATTAATATTTTTAATTTATAAGTCTTTGCGCTATCTTTCTCGATATGCTGAGGTCAACAAGAAAATCAATCACTTCAAAGCATTAAAAATACGCCCCTAATTATACTTATTGAAATGGCAACATTAAAATTATCAATCAATTTTTCACTTATACTCGAACAAGAAAAGAAATAACGCAAAAATCGCAAAGTTTGCCAGCGTCTCCCTCCCAATGCAACAAATTCGCCGCCAAAATGCAAAGTTTCTCACAATAACATAAAAATCACCTCACTTCATGTTTCAAAGGTGGATTTCGAAGGTCTTTTCGTGCAAAATATGACGCAATGGCAAGATTTACTGTACCCACAAATACTTACATACATACATATATAATAATGATATTGCTCTAAGTAATCATGTGGGTAGCTTAGTTTCCTTATTTACATTTCGATTTTATTGTTCTTTTTTGTGCGAAATTTATTTCCACTCACCCAATTGACGGCGCACCGAAAGCTGATTAGTTGAACGCCGCGAATTTCGTAGCAAACACACGACGGCACTGTGTGTCTAGTAAACTTTTTTTTATTTTACACAAAATATTTCGCGCAGTGTAACCAAAACTCAATGCATAAAAACTTACAGCACCGTTATCTGGCAACGCTGAGAAAATGTGCAACACCCATGCCAACATTTGTAGCACAAACCGTAACAACACAACCACAACGACAACAACAAGTAGTGCAAAAACAACAACAAGAAATACAACCGCAATCATATGCCGTTAGCTCACCAAAGCGTTATGCCTTGCCGCCTAATTTCGGGCGATGTTTTGATTGCTTTCACGTGGCAGCTGTGACAAGCTTTGTCCGCAGCAGTACAAGGTCACATGGTACAAGCGCAACGGTAGCCGCAGCAACTGCAACAACAACGAAAACACCAGTTACAACTGCAACAGCAACAGCAGCTGCTGACTCCTTTGCCAGCGCAGAAGCGGCAAATTTTCTCATTACAAATACAACAAAAACAACAAGTGCCAACCAGCAAACACGTGGTGCGAAGGTAACATTAAGTGCAGAAATTTTAAATGTAGCAATTTGCGTAAGTCTTTGATGCTATTTCTTGCTTTTGCTTCAAGTAAAAGCTTTTTGAATTTTCTTACACGCCCACTGTTACGTATACGCAGTGTACTACGCTTTTGAGTAGATATATATAAATAGCTGTGTCGCATTGTCGGCGTCAACAGCTGATTCACTCTAAATATATTTCCTTTGTGTTTTAGTCGCACAAGCCTGGCCGCTTAGCCGTTACAATGGGTGTGTGTGGGAGGAGCGTAAGTGAGGTAAATGGCTATATAACATAGATTACTCATACGCCATGCGCAATGGTGTGTGTACTAAAAGTCCCCTATAAGTGAATAAATAACCAATTTGTTGCTAAGCGCGCTCTGTACGCATATGTCGTTATGTTGTTGGATATGAAAGCTACCAAAAGCTTCAACGCTTTTATTTTTACTTTAGAAATGAGCTTTTTGTCGTTAGAATTCAAATGCAGCCAAATTTTAAAACTTTCAAATATTTTCTGTGTGCTTTGTGGAGTGATATGAAATTAGTTGGGCATTTGTGCACATTGATAAGCATTTTGATAATGCTTTTTAGGTTGCTGACCCCACTGTACAGCTAACTTGTTTGACTAGACTTGTTATTTGCCAGCTAAAATCCAAAAATAAAAAAATATGAAGACTTATGGTCATGCCCTCACCTTGTTCAAACACTTCTCTGCCTTCATGCTTTATCTTTTAACATTTTATTTATACTTCACGCACGATGTCGACACTGTCGATCACGTGAACAGAAGTTCTCCTATACAAAGTGCTACTAGAAAGCGTGAAAAATGCTATTAATAAACAATAGCGAAAATTTTATGTATTCTGGCGATCTTTTGTATGAATAGACACGTGATCACGTGCTGTCGGCTTGTTTGTCAGTTGAAATGTATGCAAACTAATCAGCAATATTCAAATGTGGGCAAAGCAAACGAGACAAAATTTGAATAAGAAATAATATTTAAATATAATTAATGAATAGGGGCAGCAATTTTTTTTAAATTATTTTTAATTTGGAAATCTTTTTAAATCGAGTAAAGAAGAGATTTAATTATACTCAAAACACTTACATAATAACATACAATAGAAAACAAGGAGTATCAAATAATTCATGTTTTTTATTATTTTTGATCTTATCATATATTCAGTACCAAACAAGGATGTACATTCAATCAATGTATTTGAATATTCTGGTAAACAAATACTATAGCCACAGATTTGAACTATATACACATAGTAATTTTTTTCTAATTTACGGAAACTAGAATTATGTCAGTGGCACGCGTTTGCTTCAAAGCAATGACTGATTTCAAGTGAAAGCTAGCGAAATTGCTAAATTCGTTTACATATTGTACATACATACATATATACTATATACATATTTAATAATATACAAACATACATATTAAATGTAACAATTCATGTAAAGCCGTTAAGCTCATTTTCAATATCCATGGTATTTGCGGATTTTTGGATTTGTTTACCGTTGTGTCTAAAAATATTTTTCGATTTTCGCAACTATGTATTAAGGTTCAGTTCTCTATTGCGGGATTAACAGCTCACAATTTTAATGGAAAATTGGCAAATTATCTGCCAATTTGTTGGGCAGGTATTTGTTTTTGTGAAAAGTACACTTTGGTTAGAATGATTTTGTGAAAAAATTGGTTTTCAATATGGTTCGTTAAATCATACTTGGCAATGTTATAAAATTATGAGTTTATGAAAAATGTAACTGAAATTATAACGTTATTTAAATATGCGATGCAAAATGGGGGCATAATTCAGTTTTTATATTTTCGGTGCGTAGCATTTCTTACATTTATTGCATACTATTTTGTTAACGTAACGTAACGTTACGTTATGTATGTACTTTACCTTTCTTAATTTTGTTTTATTTAGTTTTTATGTCACTTTAAGTTGTTAATTTTTTTCTGAAGAGAAGCACCCTTTATTTTATTTATTTCATATAAATATTTTTTGTTACGTCTTGTTTATGATATATTAAGTTAAGTTATGTTAGATTGTGATCTACTTCCTGCTGCTTGCTGGCACAAGAGCATAAGATCCCCTACAATTATGTGTTGTTCAAAAATTACTTTATTCAATTTTTGTTTTTACAGAATTCCAACACCAGTTGTAAGAATCCACCATCTAATTCCCTCACAACCTTATCCAAAAAATCATGCCAACAGGTATTATTGGATTTTCGAAGTTATTTGTTTCAAATTGTTTTTGTTGTGCTCGCTGTGTTTGAAGAATTGTCTTGAAGTGGCTTTGTATTGCTTTTGTGTCTCTATAATCATAAGTGCTTAAGTGTTAAGTAATTTTCTGTGCTTAAATCGCTTCTTTAAATATTTGTTGAAAATTTAATAAGCACTTATATAAATGTTGATAAAGTTAAGTTTCTTAGAATAAAAGAATTCCAAGTTTAGAAAATTTGGACATATTCGAAATATTGGAATTTGAATTCAAGATTGATTTCAACCAATATTAAGTAACAATTTTTTGTGTAGAATTTTACATGGTTTTTTCTCAGAATTTTAAATCAACTGATTTCCGTTCTGAAATTTCGGCCTAAGGAAATTTATCTTTTTTTCAATGATTTTCGAAACCATTTTCGAAAGTACGTATACGATTTTGGGTAGTATTCGCATTCATCAAAACTTGGCTGAAATTGATGATTCTTATGATTTTCACTCAAATGTATTATAGAATCACTATTTTTTAATTTTCATAAAATCAGCAATGTTTTTTGCAAGAAAACAAGCATCGCAACTGTCAGCTAATCAGATGTTTTCAGTTACATGTTTGTTGTTGCAACAACGGATCATAGGGCAGTAACACTAATGATTACTTCAATCAAAACATTTTTTTTCTGCACTCTGCACGTGTGTGTTTTATATAATATATTATATGTAACTATATACATAAGTATTTGTAAGATTGAGCGAGACCAGCTCTTCAGGAAGCTACTTATTAGCGAGCTTATCTATGAAGATCAATTTTGTGACTTGTTTTGCATTTGCGAAGGCTCGGCTGACGCACGTGATGAAGTCAGATCTGTGTGCTTGACACTCAACCCAGCTAACTGATTACATATGTATGTAAGATTAGTTCATTATTCGCTTCTAAGTATAGCTTTATTATCAGCATGTGTAGAAATTCATAAATCATAATCCATATCATGTTGTTGTTGTGTCGGCGAAATCGCAATACCTGTGTCTACAAAAACAATTGCGCTATTTAGCGTACCAGAGTCTAGTTTTAAATTAAGCTTCCAATCAAGCGTGTCCGCAGTCAAACGCTGACAAGCAATAGCATAAGTTCGCACTTGTTTAAATCGCACTAATCTTACTGAAATAGTATATACTTAATAACGCAAGATGTCTTTTCGCAAAATACTAAATGATTTTCGTCCTTTTATTTTGCTCTTTTTCGTGCAGTGCGCTTCGTACGTGGACGCCGCTACGATCGTGAACGAACTGCTGGTTTTGGATACCGCCGCGCAAACGACGACAACGACGCCATGTATGCCGACGCTACAGCAATTTGCCGTGGAATTTTACACGGACTTAGGTCTTAGCGAGCGCGTGGGTCTCACTGGCGATGTCAAGGCTTTGGGCGAATGGCGTTTGGAGCGCGCCATTGCATTGGAACCGCAACAGGGCAGCCGCAGGTGGCAAGCCAATGTGCTGTTGCAAACCTGCCGTAACATAAGTTACCGTTATTTCATCTATGTGGAGGACAAGCAAGGGCGCAAGCAGATACGTCGCTGGGAGACACGTTTGCAGCCGCGTGTGCTCAAGCCTGCTGGCGCTGAGGCGACTAATGCCGAGACGCGCGTTGATCATTTTGGTGATGCCGATGGCAGCGGTGAGACACAAGTGAATCGCGGCTGGTTGACCAATGATTGTATAGTGCAATTGAAGTTCGAACGCGAACAAATGTTCCAGGTGCTTGATATTGAGAAATTCGATCCGGCCGATGAGGTGCTGGTGAAGATTTTGCCATTGAATGAGGAAGGCGAACCGACCGAGGCGGGCGTGCATGTTGAGGTCGCGAAATTGAAATATGCGCAAAGTCATTTGCAGCCACAACAAGCTTTCGGTATTGCCTATGAGCGTGGCGACATTGTTGTATTCCATATTACGGCGCCATGTCCTTTGCAGACAGCGTTTGCTATTATTTTCCATACACCCGATCAGCGTGCAGTCGGCAAGGCTGTCATTACAGCCGCACAGTTGGAGGGCAGCGAGGGTGTGCTGGAACTATCCATTACCGAGCCGGTGCCTGAGGCCACCACCGTCATTGCGCGCCTAACACTACCGTACCTGATTGTGAAGCCATTTGCGGACAAGACGCTTGACTTCCGCACCACATACGCGCACTACTGGCCCAAGAGCTGGCCTAACTTGAATGTGGGCCATCGTGGTAATGGACGTAGCTACATTGTTGATCCGCCAGCAGAACGTGAAAATACGATTGCTTCGTTTATGCGCGCTTATGAGAAATTTGCTGACATGATTGAATTAGATGTGCACCTAACGGCCGATGGTGTGCCAGTTATCTACCATGACTTTGGCATGCGCACGGCACCGCAAGGTAAAAACATCACAAAGGCCGAGCAGCTGCAGTATGTGCTGATCAAAGATATAAATTACGAGAAATTGAAGCAGTTACGCGTGTTCGCCATTATCAATGGCAAACCAGTTGAATTTCCATCGCACAATGCCGAGCCACGTGTGGAGCATCGCATTTTCCCCAAACTAGTCGATGTACTGGAAGGTTTGCCCAAGTCATTGGGTATCGATGTGGAGATCAAGTGGCCACAGCGTCGTGCTAGTGGCGCGCCCGAAGCACATCAGACAATCGATAAGAATTTCTTTACGGACCGCGTTCTTGCGACCGTCATCAATCATGGCTGTGGCCGTCCGCTGCTCTTTTCCAGCTTCGATGCGGACATATGCACAATGTTACGCTTCAAGCAAAATCTTTTCCCTGTGATGTTCTTGACTCAAGGTCAAACCAAGAAATGGTCGCCATTTATGGACTTGCGCACACGCACTGTCGAACAGGCTATCAATAATGCGCAAGCTTTCGAGTTGGCTGGCACTGCGCCACATGCTGAGGATCTGTTGAGTGAAGAAGGGGCTCAGCTGTTGCAGAAAGCTCGCGACTTAGGACAGATCTCACTAGTCTGGGGTGATGATTGCAACTCCAAGGAGCGTGTGCAGTACTTTGTGGAGATTGGTGCGACAGCTACATGCTACGATCGCACAGATCTATACATACCAGAGGGCAAGGAGCGCGCCTTTTTCAATTCATCTAGTCTCTTAGCGGAGTTCGAGGAACAGTGCCTGCGCTAAGCGGGTCTGTAGTCGATGGCGGGAGTAGAGAAGTGATAATAGGGTTAAAATAAAACCCTGAAGGGAGGGTAACTTATAAGTGATCGTGGTCGGCTTGCCGATTGGTGCAAAAGGCGGGTGTATATGCCGAGTTTTATACGGGGGCGATTTGAGTAACGGCATTATTAACTTTTAAAAATACTTAGCTATATTTTTTTATAAAAGATATTCACATAAACACTATATTAATAGAAAAAAACTATAAGTCGTCGCAGTAAAATTTTAACTAATACACACATATACATACTATACCCAAGCAATTGTAATTATAACAACAAACAACATAATTTTATGTTCAAAATGCTAGAAAGAAAAACAAAAAATATGCGTAAAAAATTTTAATTGCAAAAAATATGAAAAATAGTTCCGTTAAAGAAACGAAAATACAACAAAAACTTGGAACTGTTTTTTATTTAAGTCGCCGGTTGCGACTTGCGGTGAACGTTGGTCGCAAAGTGCGCGCATGAAAAAGTTAAAGCGAGAGTATAAGGTACAGTAGCGTTGTATGTGTTGACAGCTAAACGGCAGCACCTATAGCTCGAGCGTCAGCAAGGAACTGTGGTGTGGCGGCGGTGACCCTCCCAAGCAGTAAGTAGCTCTGCCCCTGACACAAATGTAAAGCAACAGCAACAACTCTTGAAACGAAAACAATTGCGAAGTGAGAGTCTGTTTGGGCGAAATACAGGGTCAGCATCACTCGAACACATAGCCCGAGTGTGACTTGAGAGTGTAGCGTGCTATGTATGGACTCATGTACAAATTACTATTTTACCTTATAACTTTGGCAGTTTTTCATTTGAATATTCGCTCTCTTGAAATTTAACAATTACAGTAGCGTAAAAAGATATATTGACGAAAATTTCATATTTTTTGTTTTTAGTTTACAAATATTAATATAAGAATTATTATTATTGTTTTTTCGCAATAGTGCTCATGTAAAATTATACTATTAAGTTTTAATTAGTGATTTAATTTTTAAATTGCCTAAATTTTTTATTTCACATATTGTACAAAAACTGCAAGATTTATAACAACTCCAAGAATTGAGAAAATTTCAATTGGAAACTGTACTATTAGTTAGTGATTTTAACAATTTTAAATAATGTATATTTATTAGACAATTTTAGTATAAAATATCAGTGAATATTTTTCAACTGAAAGACATATTACTTATTACGCTTATGAGAGTCTAGTGGTAATATACCAAACTCGAAATTAGGGAGTTAAAGAATTAGCTGTTGATAAAGTTATTGATGGGATTTATTAGCTAAATCATTATACCCTAAAAGTCTACACGCGCCAAGGAAATTTTGTGTGAAATCAATGTCTACCGAACTCTTTATATGAGTTTATTATAGACTAGTCGTACCAAAGACATGAATCACAAATCTGTTAAAACCATGAAGCTCAAAGCATCTACAAATCATGGACTCTGAATTCGCATGCTTGAACTAAAACCTGGACTCAATGGACTTAAGATTTTTAAAAATTCTGAATTCAGATATAAAGACATTAGTGAAACTTATAAGAGCGTAAATCCTCTTGCAGTGAGAACTAAAACGGTGACAACTAAAGAGATTTCAGAAAGCAAATAATTATAAATGTATATTACTCAGATTTTGCTTAAAATATGATCTCAAAAAAAGATCTCTTAGCCAATCTTTTCTATAATCATATAATTAGAGCATCGAGTGAAAAGTGAATGCAATTAATAGAGAATTTTACATGAAATTGTAAAACCAGGCAGCTGAGTAACTTTCCTAAAGAAGCTTTAAATAACTATGCAACCATAATCTACAATACTTTCAGACTTGTTTTTACCTTGCGTTATATATTCTATTCGTTAGAATGTAAAACATCGAAAGAGCAAACTTTTAACATATAAACGACTTTTCGCTAAATAATAAATATATTCGATACATAGATGGGAGTTACATTGCTATAAGCAGATAATGGCAACAACCGAGGTTACTCAAAAGACCTTTTTAAGGTACAAAATTACTTGATAAGGGTCCAATACAAAGATCGAAACAAGTAAATAATGTGATTTGGATGGAAACATACCTACTAGTCGAATAGCTGCGATGAAAAAATACCTCAATAATCTGTTACGGTATATGTATGACTGCGAACCTTATCGCTTTTCGATCGAGTAATTAATTACACCAAGGTCACCGAAGATCATACTTATATTGATACGAATAAAATTGCTATAAATATATATATTTTTCGATTAGAGAAGTTACAGATAATTAGGTGCTTTATCTAGAAAGAAAATATATAAATATCTATGTTATTCATCAATGATTTTAGCAACTTATCGCTACACATCCTCAGAAAGAATTTGACCGGTTTATATGGATCAACATTTGAAATAAGCTATTTAATGAATAAGAACGGAGCATTGTCTGATTATATCATATCTAATTATAAAGCGTTGACTGTCAAAATTCAAGTTTGAAGTGACAATTTGACTTCACTGAGGCTTTCTGATTGCTGACAGTTCGAACAAATTTATTTTGCCAATTTCCAGAAAGCGCTAAAATATCTCGGCAGTTATTCAAAATGGCGCTTTCAGCGCTTGTTTCATAGAAAATATACAAATTATTATTCTGTGAAGATAAATTTGTTTTTCACATCTTCTTATTGACAATGCCACTGAGATGACAGTGAGCTTCGTAAGAACATATGAATTTGCGGACATAATCGTGTTCCATTTAGAACTGATTTAAGGTCAACGACCAAGACGTGTGATCTGTTGCTTTCAACTGCTACGTGATTTCGTCCTTCTAAGGGAAAACTAAGTAGATAAGCCTTATGGCGAGTCGATATTTCAGGACCAGGACAAGTATGACAGTAATGACAGTTACCCAACAATAATGAGATACTTAACATTGGTTGCGAAAATAAGTTCACAATATTGTTGTTGTTGCAGAAGCATTGACGAAACGCGAAGAAGACATTTCTTGATAGATGTCTGTACAACAACCTCTACATTTCAGAAGTCACCAATAAAGATAACGGTAAATTGAAAACAATTGATCAATGGAAAATTTTAACGAAATATTTGCCGTAGTGTGAAAAATTTCAACACTTTATTACTATAATGGCATACTTAATTATGTTGAAAAAGTATACAAATGCATAAAATTTATAAGAAGCTAAAGAAATAGAAGGAAAAGAGGAAACAAAGTACAAAAAGAGAAAACGTGGATGAAAATCTTGAATAATGAGATTGAAGTAAACGAAATAGTTTAGATAATATAATATGAGATAGATAGACTATCTTAAACAGGTCTTTCTAGTCAAATGATGTTTATATACTAATATTTCAGTTTATTTTTGTTTAAAGGTCTTTGTAAATACATGGTTTCGTTTTTAGAATTAATGATTTCCAAAACAAAATATTTTTTTTTTAATTCTTTATAATTTTGCGTTTGAGTTTTTGAGTTCTCCAAAAAAAAAGGGCTAACTGCACCTTGATGCAATTATATGAGTTTCTGTCTGTAGCACTCACACACAATCAAGGAATTTTACTATTTAAAAATTGATTTATTTTTTCAAATATTCCGGTCAGTAAAAATGTATTTAAATTGACAAGTATATACGAATAGATTGTGAAATACCTACAACATCAACAAGCATGAACAAAGAAGTTTTAATAGATAATTTGACACAACGAAGAAATATTGAACTACTCAAAACATTTTCTGGTTTTCATATGTTACCAAAATATAAACGTTTTTTGTAATTTGATATTGTATGTTTATGAGTGGAGTTATTTAATGTAGTTTAAGAAAAGTGCTCCTCCTTGACTTATAATTTTATTAATGCTTTGTATAAAACCTGTGTGATATTATATTTAGTAAAATTTATACATTTATTTATAATAAAATTATAGCGATCGAAACCTTAAAATACATGCTAGGAAATTTTTTTAATTTCTAAAGTAATTGACAATAAATAAGCAAAGCTTAAAATAATATATGTGAAAAACATTAATTTTTATTACTGTGATTACTTTACAAATGTGTGAAATATATGGTATATATATAAAAAAAATATATATGTATATATAATATAATATATAAAATATTTACAATTTTCAAACACAACGAGCCTACGACAATATTCAATAAATTGTTTTCAATAAAAATTTTATGACAAAGAGCTTATTAGAACGAATTTAAATTACTTAAATTACAGAATATTTTCTATAAAATGCACAGTGATGACGAATAATGCACAATAATCATTTGAAAATAAGATCACTTTATTAAAAATGTAAATTATACACTTGCATTTTGAAGTACCTATAGTAGCTCAATCTAATTACATATCTTAGATAATATTGAAACAATAATTAAACTCGCGAAATCCTATATTGGTGCAAAATAGCAAAGGTGAAATAATTTTAGTGAAAATGTGAAGCGCGTAATAGATTAACTCTTCAAAAGCCCTTGTGTCATAATTAGAGCAAAATCGGCTTATATATAGTTCAAAAATTTTATTGTTAAAAGAATGAAAAGGGATTACGAGCTTGAAATATGTGTATCAATGAATATGCTACATCATGTATCTATATCAGTTAAAATGGTTATATTAAAATGTTTAAATATTGTTATAATAAAAGTAAATTATATTATTTATTAAAAGCGTTTGAAAAAACTGCTCAAAATGTATGTACCTGTAAAAGAAAGAAGCTTTATGAGATGAAAGAGCAGTGCTCACAAAAATTATGAAACAAATATTCAAATAAATAAAAATGTCAAAAGTAGTCAGCATTGTTTTATTTTTAACCAAGCAGATAGCCTTACAAACGTTGACCTTACCGGTAGTAGGTTCAGTAATGTTTAGCAAAGAATATGATAAACACACGTGTCCATTCCTATTAGAATCGGATGTATCCAAATGAAGCGGACCCGAATTAAATGACTGTCGACAATTGTTAGCGCAGCATCCTTCCCAAAACAAAACGACAATAAAGGTCGCCTTTGATGCCGGTTAAGTTCCACTAAAAGGCGAGGGGTTGAGCTTAACTTTTTTCAACAACTATGATTTTGGGGAAGTCGACAACAATGCGTCAGTCAATGCATTGATACACGAGTGCAACCAAATTATTCTCCAGACGGGCTTCCTAATGCAGTGGCTGCTTTAGATGGACAATACTTTGAATAATACTAAGGTTTTTTTAAACAAAAATATGTATACAGAGTTATATTTTTATGATTTTACAGCCCGATTTTAAAAACCTCATATTTTTTACCCTTAGTTTTATTACGGAGTTACAATGGCGTCAAATTTGTAAAACCCTTAATTTGTTGCATGCATTTTTAGAAATAGGTGAAGCAGCTCGTCCAAACATCTAGTAAAGTAATATTGTACATATTTAATGGAAGTTTGACCCAGTTTGTAGTTTATTAGCTGATGGATTTGGATGGAGCATGAGTGTCGAGTAGCGACCGTTATTAGGAAAATATAAATAAATTTTTTGTTGTAAATCTGAAATGCGTCGTTTTCATACGACTGATAAAATGGTCGATCTAAAATTAGGTAGATAATCTTGCTACCTCGTTTTATCGTTGCGTTTAAACCCTTTGGTGCCCTCAATTAACTACTTACATCTGTTATGATTTTTGTAGACAGGTATTCTTGGTTTGGTACCAGATGAATTCCAAGTGTTCTTTATCTTTATAACATTTTCCTTATTTTCTTCGAGTTTGCAGCTGCGGCAAATATTGTTATAGGGCAAGCACACACAGTTTTAACACGTGTTCTTCAAATGGCCAATACCCCTTTATTGTAGCTGTAAGTCTGTATATACTTTTCCTGGACCTTTTTAATAAGTCTTTAGTTTTTCCTTGTCATACATAGGGCATATCTGCTTCGTTATGTTGCTTTTGGTTATATACTATTCCCATCTGTTCGGAGATATTTGTTCAAATTGTGAACAGCGCTCTCTCTTAATCGCGATCAATAGAGCTCCACAGCTCTTCTCTATGCCTAGTACTTCCGTTTAGAAGATGTTAGCTGAGCTTGGTAGACGGATAGAGACAGAGATGTCAAGATTCATGACGTCTGAGTTACTTTAATCACAATTCAATTTCCCATTTAAGTTACGTATGGTTATTTCCAATTTTTTGCATGAAAGAGTGATGTCGTGATAAAATATCGCAGAGTAAATGTTCAACAGACAGCCTAGTAAAGGTAATCATGTCCAAATATTACAAATCAGTCCCATAAAAAAATTAATACAAACATACACCCAACAGCTGGATCGCCTTTGCAGCGAGTCGACGCTATAAAACTTGTTTACATTAATTAAGCAGCCTATATTACACTTTGCATTAGTTCATATTTCACGATTAACAATAAACAGGGAGGTGTGAATGTCAAAAGCAAGCGAAAGCGAAATGAAAGATAAGCATAAAACAAAACAAAAAATAAAATCTTTTCATTTCCAAGTAAAGGTACTTTTTTGAATAGCCCTTTTTTGACAGATCACGCGTGAGTCGTGTCAAGCTGTCATGTTATTTTGGTTCTATAAAGAATGAGCATGCTGTTCGGAACACGATTACTCATCTTGAGAGCCAGCAGCATCATTCATTATTTGATAATATTCGCAGCAACTCGGACTGACGTATGGAACAAATTGGCGCATTTTACTTTGAGATCGTAAACTGAAAGCGTACAAAATACAGCTTGTGCAAGAACTGAAGCCGCTCGACCTTCCCAAGCGATATCGCTTCGCTCTATGGGCTCTTGTAAAGTTCCAAGAAGATCCGACATAAACAAGCAAACTTGGCGCCTTTGGGACAAAGAGCAACCTGAAGAGATTCAAGAGCTGCCATTTCATTCAGAAAAAACAACGGTTTGGTGTGGTTTGTGAGCCGGTGAAATATCGGTTCATATTTTTTCAAAAGTGATGCCGGTGAGAACGTAACCGTCAAGGGCGACTGTTATCGCGCCATGATAACTGACTATTTGACGCCTGAAATTAAATCACGTGATCTCGGTGACATTTGGTTTCAACAAGACGGCGCCTCTTCCCACAGATTGCATCAATCAGTGGATTTATTAAGAGAACACTTTGATGAGCAAATAGTTTTGAGCCGGTCCACCGGTCTCCACCAAGATCACACTATTACACTTTCTCCTGTGGGGATATGTAAAGTCTAAAGTCTATGCGAACAATCGCGCTTTAATTTAGGTCTTGGAGCAAAACATCACGCGTGTCATTCGAAAATTGGACTCAATGGATAGACCATCTGAGACGTAGCCGCGGCCAACATTTGAAAGCGATAATCTTCAAAAAATAAATGCCAAGAAATGTTCTTTCGAATGATAATAAACATTCCCCATTTAATTTGAATTTTCTGTTTTTTTTTTTTTTAAAGTAGGGAACCTCAAAATAGATCACCTTTTATTGCCATATTTGTGTTTTATGCTTTTAATTTTAATATATTTAAGTTGCAGACAACAGTTGTACTAGATAAAAGCCCACTTAATTAAATCTCCAGAATTGTTATAGTTGGTGGTGGGCCTCATGAGCTCGTTTCATGGTGCTCATTTATTTCGCTGTTTCAGTCACTGTCTATCAATTCTCAGTGAGCAGTTTTCTTTCTCTACTGTGTGCATTTCGTGCTAGTTCAAAGTTTTCAGTTAATACTAATTGTGCTAAAAATATCATTGAACATTTCTTTGTTAATTGTTTTTAAGAAAATCTTAATTAAGAAGTTTACTGTGTTGTCTGGTTATACAAAAAGGCGCCAGGGCCATCCCTTGTGAGCGCAGATCGCAAACCGATTGCTTGCTGACAGTGCCGGTATTAAAAAAAAAAAGAGCTAAAAACAAAAAAAAAAAACAAACATTCATTAACATTGACCTTATATTTACCGAACTCCCAACCTTTAAAAAAAGCGATCCTAAATTTATTATTTTAGAATGTGCTGATAAAGATAAACCTTTACCGCAGTAATTATGCTTAACAGTACACAAATCAGTTTGTGTAGTAAGCAAAGAAATATGAACGAACTACGTGATGGAAACATTCTCTTATTCGCAAGAAATATAATTATATCTGAAAGATTCCTCGTACCTTAAAATTGTCCGGGTATTTGCGCCGTCAAGGTCAATTACCACGAGAATCTAATTAATAATGATACCCTGAATCCAAGTGTAGTAGTGCTGCTGACATTTTGATTTATACCACTTCCACGAAAAAATTGACGTCGCATGGCGGAATGTAAAAGTAAGACAAGCAAAACTTGCAGGATGTGAAAATTGTTGCCTACCACCTCACTCCCCCACGAAATGCACACGTATTTTCTGCGCTATCTGCTCTGCCGATCACTCCTCTGCATCAAACAAGTGTCCCCAAGTTCTTCAGAAAAAAAAATCAAAGTAACAAAAAAGATGCACAATGCTAGAAGTAATTAAGATTTACACAAACTTAACTCCTTCCATCTCAGAAAATTCGCAAACATTCTCTTCCATAATTAATACATTCATTGCAGGTACAGTTTGTCCTCTAAACACACAAAAAAATACTCTGAATCTAATAAGTCTACTCAATTATAACATAAATTTCTTTAGAAACAAATAATTATATTATTACCCATATATTTCAGAAAAATTGCAAAGCAACTCTCAAAAACACTCAATACCTGGTCCATTCACACCCACTCAACCAATAAACACACTCACTGTTCATGATCCAATTATTAAGTCTTTTCTCCACACAATGGCAACACAATATCTCAGCTCTACAAATAATTACCCTCTTGATCTCCAAAACTACAATAACAACACTAACGAGATGAATAGTCACAGACATATACATGTCTATCATGTAGATGACACAGCAATATTCGCTGCAGAAATTTCAAGGGACGCTACGAATAATAATGGAAAGCAATCTTTAGAAAATAAAACAAAATTCAGAAATAATTTTAAAAAATCTACATTTATGAATATACATTTTAATATTATATTGTATTATTATACAAAAATTTTGAAGTCTTGCATGTATATCCTCTAGCATATTTTAAGACCTATTCATAAATCAAAATAACCACTATTTGGCAATGGACTCCTAATGGGTATTGGAACAATTTCCATGAGTTGTAACTACTTTTAAAATACCATAACTCTAGCATTGTATTGTGGCAAGAAACTCATTTGTCTTTCAACAGCACTCCCACACCACCCCATGCCTACGTAGCATACTTTCACAATCATACGCATAATACGACAAATATGTTAAGCAAGGCATAAGTGTATTCATAAAAAAGGGAACCCCCACAACAAACTAAATATATCATAATCTATTTCCACAATTACCATAGAAATTAATATATGCATTAAAATTACGTTGAAATCTTTGGTATGTAAGTACATACCTCCAAGCCAAAGTTTTAGCTCTAATGCAATTTTAGCAATATTAAGAAATTTTATCCACACCAATCATTTTACTAAGTTATTTGTACCAATGGACTCTGCGGTTCTACCACAGACAATCAAAGGAGAAATATAATAGAAGGCGTGCTCTTATCGTCAAATTGGGTAGTTCTCAAGGATGGCTCACCAAAGTTTCACAAATGTGGAAGTAACATTTTGTTCAGCAAACGTAGCGCCAAAATGCTTATGGAGGATCCTAAAATATCTCCGCGGAAGTAACCATTTTGCGATCATAACCACTACTAAAGCTAACTTAAAAAAAGTAAAAGTCAAGAAATCCCCAAACTTTAACACTTTATTTCAAGCCTGCTGCGATGTCATGTCTTCGCAAACCCCCGTCTCTGTAAATATAAACAAAGATGCAGCAAGTATAAAAAAGATCTTTTGTTTGTCATCTCATCTGCATTCACCCCAAGCAAAAAACTTTACCCGTAAACCATCTGTACCTAGGTGGATTAAGAAAATTTCATTCTTTAGGAGCGAAAAGCCGCAGGCTTGGGCCGAATTAAAAAAAACGACACAAATGATTACAAAAAATCAAAGGCTTTGTTTAGGTATCATTCCAAACAAGCGAGAGTTTTTTCAGTAAATAATCAACGCCATTAATCCTTTCTCGTCTCCAAGGCAAATTTGGCATAACATAAGATTACTAACAGGAACAGCCAAGCAAGGTCACATTTTAGCTAAGAATACTGATAGAGGCACCGTATGCAGTGCAAATGAAATAGCAAAGCATTTTTTCTCCACTTGGTCAGACTATCCAAGGATTCTAGTTTTGAACAGGAATTCATGTTTGAAAAGGACACAATAAACAGAAAAGTCTACAGCCCATATAATGTCTCATCTGCTGCATCGGAAATTAAAGATCTATCACATCCCTAGAGTTTAAAGAAGCCTTGTATAGCTCAACAGGAAAAACACTTGGTTTTGACTGAATTTCCTATTATATTATAAAAACTGTTCACATAACACTGCCAATATTTCTCCAATCCTGGAAAAACGCTGACATTGTTCCAATTTTAAAGCCCGGTAAACCTCTCGCCGAGATTCATAAACATCGTCCAATTTCCTTACCTTCATGTCATCTTATATAAATAAACATATAAAAAATATTTCTAACTTAAAAATTCTAGGAATAATATTTGATAAAACTCTAAGTTTTAAGGAACATTGTAAATTTCTAAACGGAAGCTCCACAAAAGCTTCAATATTATAAAATTGTTTGATTCTAAACATAGTAATTGTAATCGAACTACTTTAATTAATCTAACTTAGTCCTTAATTATTTCTGTTATCTACTATGGTCTATCATTATACGTCTACGGGGCAACCGCAACCATTTCAACAATTTACCACGCAGCGGTGCGGAAAAGTCTTCAAATAACCCGATATTGAACAGCGATATAAAAAGGGCTCTGAACAGGAAACGCTCAGTTATCCAAATATGTCGAAATTTCGTTAAAACCAACTCTGGTCAGAGCACCTCGATTAACACCCTGAAACCTTCATCATTCATAAATTCGTTACTTGCTCACCCAAAACAAAACAGTTCACCTTTGATATACAAAAAAAAAACAAAATTTTACAAACCAGAAGTAATTTGACAGCACTCGGATGAAAATTAATTTTTACTGGTGGCTCGACATACAGCGACACTGTTTCATTTGCCATAGTAACCGAAGATGGAAACACAACATGGGCTGGATTACTTTTTCCACACTGTTCTATTTTTACTGCCGAAGTCCTTGCTATAAGCCTCGCTATAGAATATGCAGCCATATCTAAAGGCAAATATATTATTTGCTCGAAGTAAATCGGCAGTGGAAGCACTGCAAAATATAAAAAACAACAAACCTTTGATACAAAGGATACATGAGAAATAATTAGAACAAAGCTCCAAATTAAAAATAATGTGTACTCCTGGCCACTGTGGAATTTCTGGTAATGAATATGCTAGTAGGCAAACAAACTTGCCATTCCCCAAGCTAAACTGTTGCCACCTATATTAGATCAGACATTCGAAAAACTGTCGAAAGCTACATAAAAAGAATGTCAGCGGAAATCTGGTCAACATATAACTACGCTTACACAGTTATTAACAAAAACGGCATCGAAGCCTCTATTCCAATAGAATTCTCTACAGAGCAAATAAAAGCGTTCATTAAGTTATGCCTATAACACACAAAAATCTCACATCACACACGCCAAGTCTGCAAATGTCCTCTGACAATTAACCATATCCTTGATAAATGCAGAGAGTACTCAAACGCGAGAAACATCATATTTCAGAACAAAATACCATCAGATCTGCTAACAGAACTTTCTTTAGATAATGTAAGAGATTCTCATAAATTTATATACCAAATTGGACTACTGAATCATATTTGGGTAAAATTGAACGTATTGACGACAAGTTGTGACTCAAGGGTTTTAATTTTAGATCTTTTCTTCTTTTTTTTTGCTTTGTTAATTGCCGAATATATATAATATTATCGTCAGGCCGATAGCCTACGTTGATATTGCTTTTAAACCGTAATATAATTATTTATAATTATCTTCCTGTTAAATAAATAAGTAAATAAATATTTCGTTGCTTGTTTTTCTGGTTCTGTTTGACAGTTGTAAACAGCATGGATAAACAAACAAATGATTACTGATCTGGAGTGATCTAGCTTACAAACTTATACTTATAGGTACTAGGTTACGTTATACCTATTTTCTGTAACTGAGTAAATATCATACGCGAAAATATCTACTGTTAAACTAAAAGTCTATAATATAATATTTGATTGTGAGAAAAGCTTCAGAAAATGAATTGGGTTGACCTTTGGGCTTTCCTTCTTATGTTTTGACAAAGATTGGATAACTGTAGTGCCAGTCAAAAATTTGTTAGCCGGGGAAGCGAAAGAGTGATTTCATTTTAAGCATCCATTTCTCAACTTTAAAAATTATATATAAATTACCCAAAAATTAGCCGTGCTGTAGAGTAAACGTCCAATCATCTCTCTCTGGGTCCTTCTATGGAATTTCACTCTCAAAGATGCTCTTCTTTTTGTTTTTAAGTAGCAACAATAAGCTCAACGATTAAGCATATAAATTCATTGGGAAGAACTGAGCGCACCAACCACCGTCTAAGTTTCGTTCCAATAATTTCTAGTGGATTTCAGCTTGTATGTTTTCTCTTATTGAGTGTTTACAGCTTGTTTATTATTAAGAGCTTATATAAATTAAGAAGTTACATAAAGCGCGAGTTCACTGTCTTTAATTAATCCACTAATTGCTGGCGTCTGCTGGTCAAACCAAGCCAATCTATGTAAATATAATGGAAACACCAAAATGCACATAAAGAGAATTACCGTGACGTTATTCGTTAGCGGTGCTCTTACTCTTTCGTCAACGTGCTTCATTTAGCTTTGAAATTCCAAGCGGTGAGCGTTAACGTTAGATAAACGCGACGATCATAGAAGAAGCGACGCAACACGCTGCGCAGACTCATTAAATAAAGATAAACAGTGAATAAAAATATAAAAAAGTAAATAAATAACGCTGCGACAAAAGCAATATTATAAAAAATCGAATACTTAAAGACGCCGAGAGTTTCAAGAGCTAAGTTTAACTGAATTGTAATTTTCATTCTATCAGCTTTTAACCAATGAGTGCCCAATCACAAACCATACAACTATTCATATTATTTGTTGTTGTGCTGTATAGCGTGCTATTACCACGAACGGTAAGCTTTCAAACGCAATTTAGTAGCTATGCGGACACAGCTGGTGAATGGTCGCTGGGCTTGAAGAAGTCGTTGGCGGACTTCGTCGCACGCGCGGCTGGCAGAACAATGAGCATTGAAGCACCATACAAGTTAACGCCGCAACAAATGGAAGACTACGAGGCAATCATGAGCGCTGGCGAGGATATGCCCAGCGGTTCATTCGCATATAACAATCGCACTAAAGATCAAAAAGATGTCGAGTATGTGCCGGAAGATACGCGTAGCTTTCACTGTCTGCCGATTATGCGTATTTTCACTGTGGATGTACGCCGCGTTGTGCTTGTGGGCGAGCGTGTTGCTGTGGCGGGTGATCATGCGCGACTGGGCGCTTGGCAGGTGGAACTAGCTGTGGTTATGACGCCAAGTGTTCGTGGCGGCGGCGGCGTTTGGTCAGCTAAAGTACCAATTTGCGCTAACACGCGTATACATTACCGATACTTTATCTTCAGCGTCGATAAATATGGCAGGCGGCGCGTGCACGAGTGGGAGGGTGTACCATACGGTCGCGTGTTGGAGAAATACCAAATGTATCGGCCACCCGGCAAGGATCAATTTGGCCTGCTGTCACATATGACCGTGGGCGATGTGGAGCACGAAAAAGGTTGGCTGCGCCACGAGTATGCCATCGAATTCAAGTTCATTTGGGATCATCATATGAAGTTTTACCGTTATATGCAGTTGAATCGCGGTACGAAATTTTTGCTAAAGATGAGTGTTTCACAAAATGGGTTTGAGTTGGCGCCTAGTGCTTGGCGCGACACCGAACTGGAGGTATCACACTACGCTTACAATCGCTCGCAGTTTCAACCGCAAACTGAGCGCGGCGTACCCTATACTGCGGGCGATATCGTCATATTTCGGTTCACAGCAGCGCTGAACACCAAAAATTCGTATCAGTTGAGTATTTATACGGCGGACGGTGATCGCGTGGGTGATGCGTTAATTCTAGCGCTCGATTTGCGCCACGCGGAAGGCGTGCTGCACGTGCCTATACAAGGCACTGTGAATGGCTTTCAGGTGGGCGCGTTGACGTTGCCTTACCTGATAATACGCCCTTTAGTTGGTGCCATTGATTATAACTTACGCGGCAGTTTTCAGCGCTACTGGCCCATGAATTGGCCCCCGGTGGATATAGGTCACCGCGGTATAGGTGCTAGCTACAACGCGGATGCGCCGTTGATGGAAAATACCATAGCCAGTTTTTTATACGCGCACAAATTCAAAGCAGAAATGGTGGAGTTGGACGTACAGCTGACGCGCGACTATGTGCCAATAGTCTGGCATGATTTCGGTTTCACGACCGCGCCAAAGGGGCGCAATGTGGAGAACGTCGATGACTTAGATTATGCACTAATTAAAGATCTAACCTATAAGCAACTGAAAAGCAGTCGCGTCTTTGCCATCGAAGATGGCGACATCTCTGAATACACGACCTACAACACGCGCGATGCTTTGGAGACGGAGCGCATATTTGTGACGCTGCGTGAAATTTTCGAAATATTGCCTTCAACGCTCGGCTTGGATATAGAAATTAAGTGGCCGCAGCCATTAATAAGCGGCGCGTTGGAGGCAGCGCAAACGCTGAGTAAAAATCGCTTTGTCGACACCATTTTGACAACGACCGTCAAATATGGTTGCGGTCGTCCCTTATTCTTCTCCAGTTTCGATGCAGATATCTGCACGATGCTGCGCCTGAAACAGAATGTCTTTCCCGTTACGTTTGTGACGATTGGTAGGACACGCTTGTGGGAACCCTACAAGGATTTGCGCACGCGCAGCTATCGGAGCGCCGTGAACTTTGCGCAATCAGCTAATCTTCTGGGTACCGTACCGCATGCGGAAGACTTTCTGCAGCATGGCGCGCTGCTTGACATCGGTTTGAACTTGGGACAGGCAACATTTGTGTGGGGCGATGAGCTGCAAGATGCGAACACTGTGGAACAATTCAAACGCTGGTATGTGTCTGGCGTAATTTACGACCGCATCGATTTGTATGGCCCGCCGCGCAAGCGTGAGCGCTTCTTCAGCGCACCAGAGTTACTCGACATATTTACGCGTCAGTGTATTGTTGTTGGACATTCCAACTGCAGCAGTGAGTTCGCGCTGCCGGATGGTTTTGATTTACATGGGAAACCGGTGAGTCGACTTGGCTGTGAGGTGATTGTGCAGCAGATCGGCTGAAACGCACACATATATATTCGTAGTAAGTGTATTTGTAGCTAATGGAATTTTTAATATAATTATTTATGCAAATAGTAGTAAGGTATAGCACAAGCATTATTTTCATGGCGTTCAAGCGTTGTTAAAATAGGAAAATAAAAGTAAATTAAATTAATTGGTGTTGTATTTGCCACTTTTGTTCACTACAAGGTAATATTTTCAAGAATCGAATGCATCATAAAGCCACCCAAAAATGTTTTGATATTGTTATCAAGAAAGAAAACAATTTCGTTATCGCAGTTTATTTGCTAATCAACTTTTCATCGTCTAAATGACGTCGGCAATTAGACGTCTACTGGATACTGTTTGAAATAAAACCTCTAAAACATGTGAAAGGATAACACAGGTCAACAATTTTTTTTATTTTTTATTATGATTATATAAGCAAATATATGTTATATAAAACAATTATAAATCGAAAATATTTGCTTTGAACTTTGCTTTTTGATTTTCGCGCTCATATAATGACGGTGCTCGCGAGCTATTGCCGTCAAAAGAGATGAAAGAGCACTGGAGATAGCGCTGCTTGCATAGCTCGTTGTCTACGACAGCATATGTTTGCACATTGCAGAGGAATAACGTGTTTAATAATAATTTATTATAATGGAGAGAAAGAGTATGATTTGAGTAAAAATTTAAAGATTTGCGAAATATGTTAAGCATACTTCAATATACCAGAGGTACGTTCCAAAGTAAACAGTAAAAAACTAACAAAGTACGCTCTAGTGGCGCCATCTATATGTCGACTAGTGCGTTAGAATCTGCTATCCTTTCTCGACTTCCAGTAAAAATTTCATGACATTTCATCTATTGGCAGTGAAGCTATTGCATTTTAAGTGTCGGTATATTTTTGTCATCGGTGCGAAAATGAGGCTCGAACAAAGAGCCAACATTAAATTTTCTTTTAAAATTGGTAAAACTTTTACCGAAACATTGCAATTGATGAAACAAGTTTATGGCGATGATTGCCTATCCCGTAGCAGAGTGCACGAGTGGTTTCAACGTTTTCAAAGTGGTCGTGAGGACATAAATGACGATGAACATGTGGGCCAACCAAAATCCGTGATCACCGAAAATTCCATCGAAACTGCTGATTTGTTTTTATGATTCCAAGGGTATTGTCCACAAAGAATTTGTTCCACCCGGCCAAAACGTTAATGCGGTATTCTACCTTGGAATTTTTAATCGTTTAGTGCGCCGTATTCGACGTGCTCGGCCTGAATATCGCGAAGATGGAAGTTGGCGCTTGTTGCACGATAATGCGCCGTCGATCGATGACGCTTGTGGCCGATTATTTGACCAAAAATCACATTTTAACAATCAACCCCTCCCCGTATTCCCCTGATATGGCACCGTGCGACTTCTACCTTTTCGGAAAAATACATTTGCCGATGAAAGGAAAGCGTTATGCAGACGTGGAGGCCATTCAAAAGGCTTGCACCGGCAATTAATTGATTTTTACTTTGGAACGCACCTTGTATTTCCGTTTTTCTATAATAATTACACTGGTAAACACTGTTTTTGTCACACGAACTTTGTTCGTAGGTGTTCTAACGACCCCAACAGCTTTTGTTATGTGTGTGGAGAATTAACTTTTGAATGTCAGCGTTGTGTGAGGAATCAGACATATTTTAGGGTATAAAAGCAACAAAAATAAGGTATGAATAATCTGTGTGCAAAAAATGCTGTTTGGCTAAGATCGAGTAGCTTACTTAACAGTGGTTTATTAACGCTGAAAACGTACACTGAAAGTATTCCGACTCAGTCATAATATGATGATATTTGACCAAGAGCCTCTCTCTTTGTAAGCTTATCCATTTTACAGATTTGACTAATTAAACTGACATTAAACTCTTCAGCTATCCATAACAGAGATATTTTTTTATACTCTTGCAACATGTTGCCATAGAGTATAATAGTTTTGTTCACCTTACGGTTCTTTGTATCTCCTAAAACAAATCGAGATAGATATAGGATTATGACGAGTTGAAATCCGGATTCTGTCTGTCCATCCGTTCTTCTGTGCAAGCTGTAACTTGGTCAAAATTAATATATTTTGATGATGCTATATATATAAAAATCCTTTCAACGCCTCTTGCGACAGCGGCCGCTTTTTTTCATATACATATATTGATGATGATATGTGAGGTACCTGAATTAAACTTAGAGAGGATCTTCTATTCCCTAAGATGCAAGAGTATGAAACGTTCGGTCACACCAGAACTTAGCCTTTCCTAACTTGTTTAATATAAAGTTTTCCCAACACCTGAATGCATCTTTCCGGCTTTGATCCTTGCAATTTGCAAGTGTTTTTGTTTTCTTTTTTCTTTAATGAAATAAAAATGTAAAGTTGATACATTAAATGAACATGCGTTATAATTTTTAAAGTTCTTTTACCTGAAAAATTAATTTTCCTGTACATATTTTATTCATAAGGACTAGAGTACCCAGCCAAAGGAGTAAGATCTGCTGAGAGAGATATTGAGCGCAAAGTATTTAGGTCGCTAAGTTGTCGCAATAGAAAATAATCGTAGTATGATAACAATATAGTAAATTTAAACTATAAATTCTCTAAATATTAAAGTCATCAAATTTTAGTGTTAAGGCCACATTGAAGTGGTTTATCGATTTTATTTCTAACTTTGTTCATATCAAGTGAGTTATTATATAAAGAAACATTTTTCTTTCTATACGTCATACATGGTTCACTCAAAAAACTCTTGGACCAAATTTCCATTTGCGAATCTTTGCTGAATCGAAAAAAATTTCTAAAGCGAATGGATAGTGAAGTCGATTCCCGGCGCAATCGGTGTTCAGGATTGACGGTCATCTACTATTAACTTTTTGTCAGCTTTGGCCAATAGGAGAGGAATTGTGTTTCATCAGGACAACGCCAGGCCACACATACCGACAGTGATTCGCTAGAAGCTCTGGGAGCTGGGGCTGGGAACAAAACGCTGCATATTCGGACTAACATAATTCATTAGTTAAGGTAAGATATTATAGTTTTTTTTTTCACCGTTTATAACTCCATCCAGATATATAAAATGTGCTGAAGTGAGAATTGAAATCTTGGTATAAATAACCTAGAGGTATTTTAAATTTAATATTTTGTTGAGACCATTTCTTTATATTCAATTCCTCATTTGAACTCATTAAAATTGTCGAAGTAAGCATTAAGTTGAAAGCCGTTTTTCTTTTCAAGCTGAACAATTCGATTTCTGTTATTGTTACTTAAGTACACATTTGTAGTTTGGTTCATTAACTTTCTTTGATGCGGCTCATTAAATAGTCAACACATAACATTTTAACGATAATACGGCAACACCGAAATAACCGGATTAAATCTCAACAACAATTCGTAAAAGTAAGATGTCTTCCGTTAAAAATAAACTGCTGCCATTGACATTACTACATACTTCAGAGCACACATCCACACCCAAGCACATACACAAATGCATACATATGTCCACATGTACCATATATGTATGTATATAGACAATTGCTTAACAAACACATTGAAAACGTAGGCAACTTGGTGATACGAGAGCGCAATGAAGTGCGTTGCCAAGCAGTGGGAGTAAAGGACGTCATACACCGGCTGCTGAAGTATTTAAGCAAAGTAAACTCTGTATGTCTGTCTGTGTAGAACAATGTAGCGTCTAATGGGTTTTCCGAAAATGTGTTTACTGGTACATTACAACTTGAGCTGTGCAATTAAGCGATTTTTTGTGCGTTATGTAATGTGCTTGTAAGCTTCATTTATAATCGTTAAATAAGACTTTTTAAAGCCGGTGAAATCAATTAATAATAAGTTCAGTTGTTTTAATTAACCGAACATCGACAATGGAATATTATTAAAACGATAACGACTCTAGAGCAAAAGTAAATTTATTTTAAGAATTGTCATTAAATTATAAGCTTGGTTCACTCTAGAATTCTCAAATATTCATTTCAGTTAGCAGAAAATAGGAAACCTCCTTTGGCAAACTAGTGAAAAAAATGTCTCGTCACATCCGAATCGCGTTTTTCTCGAAGCGAAGAAAAGTGTGCAGTATCCTAGAATCATCAACGCTTGTAGATCCTCCTAAAAAATGTGATGTGTGATATTGACCTAGAAGGCGGCATATTGTATGAAAATCTTTTTATAAATAATCAAACTTAGACGATTTTTAAGGGCTCTACCCTGGTCCAATCGCTAAAAGATACAGTGCATGCAATTGAAGACAGTTAGTTATGTTATTTCATGTTCCTTTTCAGTTTTAGTTTTTAGGTTAATTTTTTAGTCTAGGGAATTGCATGCTTTAAAAAAGTGTTCCGGGTTTCTCGCATTAAAAGAAATGTTGTTTAAGCGGAAGTATTTATATACAAACTACATATTATTGTTGTGATTTTTGTCGAAATTATTATTCTGAAAGTTTGACGTAAGATTATCAGCGTACCTTTCCCTTTAAACATAATAAAAGGTGGGTCTACAATGTCTCATATGAACGTAAACTCCCATAAAGTAATCTTGGTTGAATATAGAATATTACTGTCGCTCTATTACCCACAATTTTGTCAACCTACTAGCACATTTAAAGAACCTTTTTAGTGTTTCGTTTATAAACTCGAATGTTTGGGCCAGATTTTGAAGCTTTCATTTCTAATAAATATGAATTATATGCGTATTTAAATGTAATTATTTTGAAAGAATATCGTTTAGAGAGATGATTAAGGCATTACATTGAGGAGACTGCCTTAGTGTAGTATATTTTAATGACTGAGTATATTTTAATGACTATGACTATTTTTATATGAAACAATTTTTTTTGTTCGTATAAAGTGTTCAATCGACGAAAGCTTTCAGGAGCCTGCTCTCAACTAAAGCTCTTTTGGTTCTCAAAGAGCTCCTTCGATGGGTTAATTTTAGATTTAAATCATAATTGGTACGGTAAAATTGATTGAAGATATCAAAATGCTCTTCCTAATGTCACATTTTCGAAAAAATTATCGACTTTAAAAAAGCTCCTTCGATGGGATATCTTTATGTTATCAACGAATAAATTCTGATTGGGAGTAAAAAAATTATATAACCCATATTGAGAAATATTTTATTCGAAAGCCGAAAT